TATGACTGGTACTACTTTTTGTAAATATTGACCACAATTGAAATAATCAATTTTTCTTCACAAATGTAGGTACTAATCGATCAAAAGCAGGTACCACGTAGAAGAAAATGCGGTACTATTTTGGCTAAAACAGTTATTATTTTCAGAATCGTGATTTCTTTAATCCTTCATGTCTACCATGACACGTGGATCGTTCACACATGATTTGGATGCAAAAAAGTAGAAGTGAAAACATATAAGTAGAAACAATAGTAGTCATGTATGATGATTCTATGAGATGAAGTATGTCATTCAATGAAATGAAGTCTAGTAGTACTATTTTCTCATTAGTGTATTGAGTTCATGACCAATATGCGATTAAACTCAATCAAAAGACATTTAAAATCTTATATAAACTAATGTGAGAGTGATTGTGGGTCGTATAAGTATAATTTGTGACCGAAATTTGGTCTTCTTATGTGTTCATTACAAGTGGTACTAGAGACACGATATCTGGTACTAACACAACAAAAAGTGGTAGTGTCTTGCACTATGATTGGTACTACTTTTTGTAAATGTTGACCACAATTGAAATAATCAATTTTTCTTTACAAATGTAGGTACTAATTGATCAAAATCAGGTATCACGTAGAAGAAAACGCGGTACTATTTTGGCTAAAACAGTTACTATTTTCAGAATCGTGATTTCTCTAATCCTTCATGTCTACCATGACAAGTGGATCGTTCACACGTGATTTGGATGAAAAAAGTAGAAGTGGAAACATATAAGTAGAAACAATAGTAGTCATGTATGATGATTCTATGAGATGAAGTCTAGTAGTATTGTTTTCTAGTAGTATGGACAGTTCAATGAAATGAAGTCTAGTAGTATTGTTTTCTCATTAGTGTATTGAGTTCATGATTAATATGCGATTAAACTCAATCAAAAGACATTTAAAATCTTATATAAACTAATGTGAGAGTGATTGTGGGTCGTATAAACATCATTTGTGACCAAAATTTGGTCTTCTTATGTGTTCATTACAAGTGGTACTAGAGACACGATATCAGGTTCTAACACAACAAAAAGTGGTATTGTCTTGCACTATGATTGGTATTACTTTTTGTAAATGTTGACCACAAGTGTAATAATCAATTTTTCTTCACAAAAATAGGTACTAATCGATCAAAAGCAGGTACCACGTAGAAGAAAATGCGGTACAATTTTTTCAAAATCGTGATTTCTCTAATCTTAATCGTGATTTCTCTAATCCTTCATGTCTACCATGACACGTGGATTGTTCACACGTGTTTTGGATGAAAAAAAGTAGAAGTGACAATATATAAGTGAAAACAATAGTAGTCATGTATGATGATTCTATTAGATGAAGTGTGTCATTTAATGAAATAAAGTCTAGTAGTAGTGTTTTATCATTAGTGTATCGAGTTCATGACCAATTTTGCGATTAAACTCAATCAAAAACATTTAAAATCTTATATAAACTAATGTGAGAGTGATTATGGGCCGTATAAACATCATTTGCGATCGAAATTGGGTCTTTTTATGTGTTCATTACAAGTGGAACTAGAGACACGATATCTGGTACTAACACGTCATAAAGTGGTACTGCTATACTCTAGGTCTGGTACTTCTTTTTGTAAATGTTGACCAAAATTGAAATAATTCATTTTGGTTGACTAAAAGTAGGTACTAAATGATCAAAAACAGGTACTGCGTAGAAGAAGAAGCAGTACTATTGTTCCCAAAACGGGTACCATTTTAATGAGATAAAGTGTTAATAGTGTTTTTCCTTCGTGTTTCGAGTTCGCGACCAATTTGTAATTAAACTTAATTAAGAACATTATAAATCTCATATAAACTAGTGTGAGAGTGAATATTTATCATGTAAACATCATTTTAGACCAAAATTCGGTGTTTTTATTTGTTCATTACAAGTGATACTGATTAGCTAATATACGCAGACTGCCCTGTCTCAGACCCGTTGTTATGCAAAACTCTGTTGGGTCGAAATTCAAAGCCAAGTTATATCCAACTATAAACACATTCAAATCTACCATGTACGTGCTAACAAGAGCCTCAACGCTACTACGTAAAACTGTTAAATCGGGCATATTCATAAAAAAATAAAAAGGACTCTTTTCAAAAACCTCTATGTGCTTGTCCGAGAGCACAACAACCATTTTATCCATCACATCTTTGAAGTATGAGGGGGCACACCTACATCTTAGTTCGGTACCCTATCAAAAACAAATAAATAAAGTCAATTTTCAAACATAAGAAACAAATATAAACAATGATGCAATTCAACAATAACAACACCTCAACCCATTTTAACAATAATACCACCTCATTCAAAATGATATAAAACACCAAACAACACCACAGTCCTAATTGCTATTCAAATTCATATCAAGGAAATAAATAGCTCGCTAAAGTTGCCGCTATTTGAGAAATAGCTTTTTTTGGCAGCGTGCCGCTATTTGTATCCATGTGCAATTTAATCGTTAAATCCCGCTAAATCTCCGCTATAGCTACAGTGCCATAAACGTTTTAGCCCGCTATTTAAAACCTTGATTCATATAAAACACCAAACAACACCAAAGCCCTAATTGCTACTCAAATTGATATAAAACACCAAACAACACCTCAGCCATAAATTGTATTCAAATTGTTATAACACACCCACTCCATTTCCTCAATTATTTCAACAATGAAGAACCAAACTGAAGCACCAATACCAAACAAACAATTGCCCACTCAAATTCAACATCTAATAGAGTTCGATTTCAATTTATTTGGAAGAAAATTCAATTTCAAATTATTGTTCATGCGATGTGAATTGTGAGCTAGTTCAAGTGGAAAAGAAAAATGAACTAGATATTCCCATTATGCTTCAAAAAGCATATATATGTTGGAACTCTTAAGAATTTCAAAATTAATTTACAGCAATCAATATTTTTCATAAGCAAAATGAATATCCAGTTCGTTTTGCTTTTCCACTATAACTTGTTTACATTTTTTTTTTCCCAAACATCAAATGAATCAATAAAGCTCGGAATTACAGAGTTCGGCAAGCCAACGGGTTTAAACAACAACAACAACAACAACAACAAACAGAGAAGTCATCTAGCAGTGATGCTTCGCTAGATGACCAACTAGCGGGCAGTACCTAGAAATCAAATAAGGAACAAAAAAAGAAAACTAGCACAAACACAGAAATACACAAGGAAAGACCAACTGACAATAAGTCTACTAAAGTACTAACACAACCACAGACATAACAGAAAAATAGAAAAGCACCTACACAGTGAAACAAAAAAGCAAAAGAGAAACAAATGAGCAATATTGAACTGAGACAAACTTCCAGCAGACAACCTGAGTCCATAAACTATGATCTGTAATTGAACTTTCTTCCGAATCTTTATTTTTGAATTGAAATTGAATCTTACAAAAATAAAATCCAAAAACAATCTCTATGTTGGGACTTTTAAAAATTTCAAAATTGATTTACAATAACAATAGCAGAAACAATTGATAAAAAAAAAATAATACCAAAATCAATAAAACCCTAGACATGCAAATAGCCTAATTTATCAATAAAATTTACGATTTGTGAAATAAAACTCAAAATTCGAAATGCATTAGTATCAACCAAATACCTAATTTTAAAAAATCTTGAATTCAATAAAAAATCAAAATTTGAAAAAAAATCCCAAATTCCGAATTGAAGAAAAAATTCAAAATTGTTAGAAAAAGATACCCAAAATCTTACCTTGCTTACTGTAGAAGCCGATTTGTCGGATGTGGAACGACGAGTAGGACGGTTTTCCGAGCCCGCCATGGAATTTTCCCAAAGAATTGGCCGGCGATTTTCATGGAGAGAGAGGGAGAGAGACGATCGATGAACAGAATTTTCAGAGAGAGAGACGAACGGAGAGAGATGGAACCTTTTTCAGAGAGATGCTTGGCGACGAAAATTTGAGAGAGAGAACGACGGTCGTCGATGATTTTGAGAGAGACAAAAAGGGCGAGAGAGACGAAGAGAGAGAGAAGAACTTCATTTCAATTTTTTATGAAATAAATCAAAATAAAAGAATAATAATAAGAGTAGTATATATATGGGGAGTAATTTGGAAAGAGAAATTAGCTTTAGGGAGTGATAAGGAAGTTTAAAAGTGATGGGGACTGACAAGGAAGTTGAAATGTGCATTGGGGATTTATATGGAATTACCCGTAGATTATATATACATAAATATAAAATTACATAAATATAAAATTATTAATTAAATATAAAGTTTTTTTAAATTTTAAAAAAAAATAAAACCATTTCCATCCTAATTGGAAGGAGGCGTTCGAGTGCTTGACTAAGTCGAATTCATACTCTTGTTGGCGTTTCAATTTTCTTATCCCGCGAGTTTCAGTGAAACCCTAATGTTCCCAAATTTCTCTCCTTCAATCTCAATCACTCTCACCGCTGGTTGTAGCAGATGCTCAACATTGGCGCGCTCAAAGGTCTTACAGTGAGTTTACCGCTAATCTGCATACAGTTGTGCTCCATTGTAGATACAGCTAAAGTTCAATTCTAACTCCATTGTGAATACTGTATTGATTTCTTTAGGATTGGGATCATTATCAGATCAAGAGATGCGATTTTGAAATGTAATTATTTTGGTACATGTTTCATACTGCTGATGCCGCAAATAGTGAATGTAATTGGCGAGATTCGAGGCTTACATTTCCCACATTGCTTATTTGTCTGATCGCCAAAATTGCATGTTTCTCAGTGTCTCTGCATGGAATTCTATGTGGGTGTGTTATTTTCTTTCACTAAAAAGAAAGATTTGACAGACGGGGCAAATTCGCGCCTTTCGGTTGCGGTAACGGTCTCAAACCGGCCTTATGTAGCTGAAAAAACAGTGCACTTGGCTGAAATTTGTTCCCTTTTTTTCTGTTCTTTTTCTTGAATATCCTGCTGTAAATGGGACAATGGAGAATAAAGGAACCATGGTTGGCCCGAAAGGCCTTGTTAGAAAGCATGAACTTGTACGAATCATAGTCCAATGTTTATATTCACTGGGCTACAGTAGGTCTGCCTCCTGTTTGGAAACAGAGTCTTGCATCACACGCAAGTCCTCTGAATTTGAAGCACTCGAATCACAAATTCTGACTGCGAATTGGGATGATTGCACCAGAAGTCTCAATAAAATGGACGCCTTGGCTGATGAGATAAGATCGTCAGCACTGTTCATTGTTCTCGAACAGTGCCTGTTGGAATGCTTGAATTCTGGGCACATCTCTGTCGCATTGGACTTACTACGAAGAAAGTTTTCAGCTTTGAAGATCGGCAAAGAAAAGCTTCACGAGCTTTCCTATGGATTGATTTCACTGAAGGGGTGGGGTTGTACGGATTCTGATGGTGTGCTTGAGCTGCGAGAAAGACTGATCTTGAAGCTGAAAAAAATTTTACCCCCACCAATTACACTGCCTGAGAGAAGGCTGGAACATTTGATCGAGATGGTTGTGTGCGCTCAGATTGAGAGCTGTATGTACCACAGTTCATCTGATGCGGTGTCGTTGTATAGGGATCACCATTGCGATCGAAGTCAGTTTCCAACAGAGACTATTCAGGTTGACTTATGGGAGTTATCTCGCAGAAAGATAAATTATCATCTTTGATTTATTTCGTTCAGTCCAATTTTTGTTAACGTGTAAGATTGCTATTATAGTTATACTGATTTTGTACTTTTTTTTTCAGATTCTTTTTATAGAATTCTGGCTGACTGCTACACACTCTTTTTTATTTATTAATATGGTTTTTTTGGTGACTTGATCAATAAATTTGTTCTAGTTCTGTTTTCTTTGTGTAAAATATTGATTTGGAAGGACTGGGATTTTATATTACAATTTTGATGTGGTAAACCTTGAAGAAGAAAATTAGCAGTAAACTTGCAGTTTTGTAATCTTGATATAATGCGGAAAAGAATGTGTCGGAGATTCTCAGAATAATAGCTTAAGGGGTGATACATATTTCATATTAATTATGGTGATCGTTCAATATATTTCCTGTTTTGTGTGAATAGAATAGAGCAATGCTTTGAAATAAGAAATTATTGTCATGCTATGACTGGTACTAATTTCTCTAGAGGATGACTGCACGGAACTTTGTTGCACACACATCGTATATATTTGCTATAAAAAATACTATTTAATTTCGATATAACTAGCACATTTGTAATAAACAAAGTCAATATTGACTCTCTGAATTCCTTGTTCAGTCAAGCACCAATGCTGTTGCTCATAGGACACTTTAATGAAATATTTATTTGAACAATATTCTAATTTCTAAGTACGTGTTGGGGATTCAGTTGTATTCATCATTTATATTTTGCTTATATGCTATCTGCTAGAGTGAGGAATCTTGATTATATTTTCATGGATTTTGAGTTTTTTTTTAAAACATATTAATGTAGTGTGGTCGTTTGTTTAATCTTTGTGCAGATATTGACTTGTCATCAGAATGAAGTGTGGTTCATTCAGTTTTCCAACAATGGAGAGTATTTGGCATCATCATCAAGTGATTGCACAGCCATCATATGGGAAGTATGTGTCGCTTTGTCTTCTGCTTTAACATTATTATTTGCAAAATGCTAGCTGGCTTGTATGCTTGCTCCATGCATTCCATGGGAAAATATAATCTAAACCCTGATATGCATGAATATGATGTGAATTTTGTTTCTTTTTTAAGTTTTAGCCAATCTCGATTGACTGAATTTAGGAAGTTATAGTGTTCTGATATGATATAGTTCGTAACATTGAAAGTTCAGAAAGTGGAAACCTTAAGGAACTTTGTTTTTATTTTTCATATTCCCCCTGTAAAACAAGCTTAAAGGAAGTATTTGTAATATTACAAGATGACTGGTTCAATTTCTTTTCTTTTTGTGTTCTATTTCTCCTCTCCACTTTATTTGGTCAAATTTAAAGCCAAGTTATTGGAACTGTTCGTTTATATACCAACTTACCATATCTATTCAGTTAATTTTATTCATTCCTAATTCCCTTTATTCATATAAACGACAACAACAACAATCATAATAAGTATGCTCCCTTTCCGTCTCACTTGCCTAGACCTTTTCCAAATAACATCCTTATTTAATTTCCTTTATGCCATTCTTCAAATCGCACGGTTATCACAAAACAGAACTATAGAAATGTATAATAGAAGGGTATATTAGGAACATAATCATCAATTCTACATCCCAGCAACAACATTTTCTTTTTCTTCAAGCCGTGTGACAAAAAAAATTAAATAAAAATAAAAAAAGAAAACAAGCCTATCCGATTTAATGTTTGTTTCTCCTTTTTCCCCTACTTTTCCCTCCCTTTTTCCTTTCAATCTTCCCCCAGGTGCAGCATGATAACAAGGCAACCTTAAAGCACACGCTACGCAGCCACAAAAAACCCATCTCGTTCGTGTCCTGGAGTCCGGATGACAGCATGCTCCTCACGTGTGGCAACATGGAGGTCCTCAAGCTGTGGGACGTCCAATCGGGCGCCTGCCGCCACACATTCGGCACTGACGGATTCACCGTAAGCTCATGCGCCTGGTTCCCCGACTCCCGCCGGCTCGTCTGTGGCAGCTCTGAACCAAAGAAGGGAATCCGCATGTGGGACTGTGATGGCCATGAGATCCGGGCCTGGAAGGGTTCCCGCATGCCCAAGGTGCTCGATCTAGCCATTACCCCTAATGGGGAAAATCTCATAAGCATATTTTCCGATAAGGAGATTCGGATAATGAATGTTGGGACGGGTGCTGAGCGCGTGATTCCCGAGGAGCACTCGATCACGTCCCTATCAGTGTCGGGGGACAGTGAGTTTTTGATTGTCAGCCTTAATAGTCAGGAGATTCACTTGTGGGGTGTTGGAGGGGGGTCGGTGGGCCCCGTGATGTATAAAGGCCACAGGCAGAAGAAATATGTCATACGCTCGTGCTTTGGTGGGCTGAACAGTATGTTCATTGCTAGTGGCAGTGAGGATTCCAAGGTAACCGTGCTCGTTCTTCATTACAAATGCACTCATAATATCTTTCATGGATATTCTGTTTAGAGTGCACAAAAAACCCAGCTTGAAATTTTGTGTTTGCCTGGTAATGGTGCATTTCTCGCGTAAAGAGATTTACGTGTTGACGGAATATTTTTAGTTTGGTCAAGTTCCGGGGTGGTGTTTTTAGTTAACTACCAAAAGCTGCTGCCTCTAAGTTTTGGTGCACCATTTTTTTGAAATTACTAATTCAAACTGGCCTCGGAAGTTTGTTTTACCTACCAAATACTCTCTTTTTGTGAGAGCAATCTTGCTGTACTTCCTCTAAGCCTATTTTACTTTTATCTATCATAGTGCCAATAATTATATTCTTTTTTCACTCTCCAAAAATTCCTTTATTATTGTTCGGAACTCGAAAATCATGGGATTCCTCATCACTGGAGGAGCAAATGCATATCTCTGCTCCTACGTGCAGTTTGTAAAGTAGAAACAAGTTGCTCATATTTGGTATTTATCTATATACGCACTATCAGGTTATGCCTCACATCGGGTCTGTTTTTATAATCTGTCGTTGAGATTGTTTCATGAAGTACATGTCATTCAAATACATGAATTATAAGTGGTTTTGAATATTTGAAAAATCAAAGTGACTGAACTGAAGAAATTTGTGTTCTTTTAAATAGGTTTACATATGGAACCGCCGATGCTCTGATCCGATTGAGATCTTGTCTGGTCACTCGATGACTGTAAATTGTGTCAGCTGGAACCCAAAACGACCCCAGATGTTAGCTTCGGCTAGTGATGATAATACAGTACGAATATGGGGACCGAGCTGTGGAACACAAATGGGAAAATGAAGTTGAGTTTCACTGAAGAAGGATGTATATCATATGCTGAACATAAATGAGAAAATGAAGAAGTTGAGTTTCATTGAAGAAGGATGTATATCATATGCAAATGCAGCATGGTTCACTTGTAAATATACTTGTTTTTTGCATGTATATTCTCATTTAACAATTTTTTTTTTTTTTTTT